TGTCTAAGTTTTTCAAGTTTTTCTCCATAATCTTTGCATTTACGTCCACAATTTTGTTTTTTCAAAGAATCAACATTAGCATAAGATTCTCCTTGACAATTATTTTCGGAAGCACATTTCCAAATTCTTGATGGTCATTCTGTTGCACTTAAATTGTTTTGCAGCTAATGTAATTGCACCTTTCTGCAACTTTCCCTTTTTCTTTTGATGCATCAAGAACTGGACGATCGCAACTTGATCTTTGCTTGAAAACTCTCTTTTTTTTTCATCTTACTTTTACAATGGGTCAATATTCAACTGAAATAAAACAATTGATTTCAATCAGCGGATGAAATTAGAAAAATAGTTATAATTCGTAATAATTAGATTAACCTAAAAATTGAAAGATGTGTCAAAATAAATGACAGATGTCATGAAACATTGATTTTGATTGAAGGCTTTGCAGTTTTGTGCTACAACATAACTTACAGCTGCATTCGCCAATAATTCCCGTTTAAATATTCACTTGCTACTATTATTATGGGTCAGAGGGAGTATTTCATTCCATCCATTTAACATATTCAGATCCCATACTTACAAACAAAATAGCCAAGAACTAAATAGGACAATAAAAACAAGGTTTTGATAAATCTTTTTTTTGAGAAAGCCCAAAGATCTTCACTTTGATCACTGTGAACTTTGACTTGAATACTTTAAGACAAAAATTTCAATATGTTGGTCTTATAGACTTGGGTTTCAAAATTCACTCATTTATTTTTCCATAGAAATATATAGTGGGAAAATAAAGAAAGACATAGGAAACAGTCACTACGTGTAAGACACTGCACACTGAACAACATAAATAATTCCAAGAGGAAGATGAAATAAACTAGGGTATATTTTAACAGCTTTTAAAATTTTTTTATTTTATTACAAAGTGATAATCATCCATTAAATAATTAAAAAAAAACTGGAAATAGAAAAAGATCGATCCTAATTATATCATTTAATAAGTACTGTTAATCTATTTATACAAATACCCTGGGTGTAACATCATGTCCAAAGCTCGACCAACCGGTAGGAAGTCAGTTCTGCAGGGGTTGTCTTGGAAAGGGCTGCACCCTCCCTCAGCTGTTTCCCCGGAGGGCGAGGTTTCAGGCAGGAACCCACCCTCTGCGTGTGGAAGTACTGAGTCCTGAGTTGCCTTGCCAAGGGCCGACCTTCCCCAAGCTGTTTCCCGAGGGAAGAACCCACCCTAAGAGCCCAGGAGCACCCAGCAGCAGTCAGTCCTGGGTTGCTGAGGAGGAGGCCACACCGTGGTAGAACTCTGGGTCTGGTCCAACAGGGGGCGTGGCCGGCCTTCAAACCAGACCCTGACAGTAGGGAGGAGGCAGCCCCATTCCTCACAGAATCTGCTGTGGGATAGCTTGCTGTCAGTGGCCTGCCAACCAGGAACCCCATTCACATGCATATCTGTATAAAGTTTTAATACATAACATTAGAGGTCGTGGTGGTACTGTTTTACCCACAGCATCTACAGGAATTGCTGCAAATTTACTTCTCGATGGAAGGACCTTTCATTCCCAATATAAATTACCGATTCCATTAAATGAAACTTCAATTTCTAGACTCAATATAAACAGTGAAGTTGCTAAAATTACTAAAAAGGCCCAACTTCTCATTATTGACGAATGCACCATGGCATCCAGTCATGCTATAAACGCCATAGACAGATTACTAAGAGAAATTATGAATTTGAACGTTGTATTTGTGGGAAAGTTCCCCGTCCTGGAGGGGATTTTTGACAAAGTCTCAGTATTGTACTGCATGCTATGGGAGCGGCCATAGTACAAAAGAGTTTAAAATATTGCAATGTTTGGGGATGTTTCAGAAAGTTGTCTCACAAAAAATATGAGATCAGAGGATTCTGCTTATAGTGAATAGTTAGTAAAAGTTGGAGATGGCAAACTTGATAGCAGTTTTCATTTAGGAATGGATATTATCGAAATCCCCTGTGAAATGATTTATAATGGATCTATTATTGAAGCTACTTTTTAGAAACACTATATCAATAGATAATATTAAAAATATATCTAAACATGCAATTCTTTGTCCAAAAAATGAGCAAGTTCAAAAATTAAATGAAGACATTTTGGATATACTTAAAGGAGATTTTCACACTTTGATACCATTTATTTATTAATATTTGAGTGACAATTCCATTGATTTCACAGATGATGTTGAAAGGGAAAATTTTCCCACTGAATTTCTTAATAGCATTACTCCTTTGGGAATGCCATGTCATAAATTAAAATTGAAAGTGGGTGCAATCATCATGCTATTGAGAAATCTTAATAGTAAATGGGGTCTTTGTAATGGTACCAGATTTATTATCAAAATATTATGACCTAACATTATCAAAGTTGAAGTATTAACAGGATCTGCAGAGGGAGAGGTTGTTCTGATTCCAA